AATATTATACAGTAAAATTTTCAAATAAAAATTCAGCTATAAACTTATTGATTCACTCATAGGTTTTAATAAAATTAGTAAGTAATGGATAGCAGCTTGGACTGAAGAATTGGAGAGCGGAGTTCAAATTCCAGTCAAATCCATTACATTCACTTATGTGCTAATACCCTTGGGAAAGGTATGAAGCCTCTTCTTCTCCCCCCAGCTATGGGTAAATAGCAGGACAGACTGAGTTCTATAGCCTTGGATGGCAACTGGTCTACCACAGAAAGAAATGGCAAACTACTGCGGGGAAAAATCTGCCTAGTCAGTCATGTATTGAAAGATACATGATTGCCTAAGCATGTATCCCTCATGGCACATAACTGACTGAAGATTTGAACTCCCCTAGCTATAGATTAAATTACATACTAGTCTAGGAACTTTAGTCGTTAGCGGCAGCGTGTCTGAGAGAAAGACTACTCTGAATTCAAAACTGCTGAGAAAACAGTGGAGGGAAATCACTCCATTGTTTTTTCTCAAGAAGACATTGCAATTTAGATATTAAAGAAAATAAAACTGTGGTGGGTCATGATATTTACATTCTGAAAGGACATAGTGTCTAAAACAATGTAACTAGTTTAGGAGAAGAACAACTGTAAAGAAGGTAACAGGAAACCACTCTACTACCTTTCCCAAAAAATCATGGCAATTCACAGATAATAAAGAAAAGGAAACTATGGAGAACCATGATCACTTCTACCCTGAAGAGATATGACCTCTAATAAAGGGTAACTTGTTTAGGAGAAGGGAACAGGAAACCACTCTACAATCTTTCTCCTGAGAAGACAAGGCAATTCATAGATTATAAAGAAAAGGAATCTGTGGAATGTCATGATCACTTCAGTCCTGAAGGATATGGCATCTATAAACATAACTAGTTTAAGTGAATGACAACTGTGAATTCAAAATCATGGTGAAGGGAAGAGGAAACCACTCTACTATCTTACCTAAAGAATTATGGCAATTCACAGATAATAAAGAAAAAAAGGAATCTGATGGCTTACATCTTGAATGGACATGGCATTTAATAAAGTACACAAGTTAAATATCAAGATAGACTAGGCTCTCTAGCTCTGGCTGGCAGGCAGTCTAAGAAAAGGACTACTTTGAATAAAAACTGCAGAGGAACACTATTTTTCTTGATATGGCATGGCAAGTCATTGATGTGGAGAGTCATGATCATCTATCTTTTAAAGGGACATAGTATTTAATTGGAAAAAGAAAATGACTTGAAAGTACATCTTTTCTCTTCTGTGCTTGTTCCATACATCTATAAACATTAGAAGAACTGATTAAATAATTTTAGTCTATGTTCTACCATACATAATTATAAATACAAAGACTTTTTCTTTCTTCTTTTCTCTCCTAACTTGAGTTAAATCATTTAACTCAATACTTAAATGTATGTGATGTGTGATGTATTTTTGAAAATAGATCTGATTAACAAATTAACTTTTTACAAACCTCATGTTTTCAGCCTTTCTTTAGAAATTGTAGTTAGTCTTTTATTAATTTTCTTTGATTAATAAAGGCTCAGTATTTTAAAATGCTGTTTATAATATGACACTAATCAACAACTAACCATCTTTCATAAATGTTTACTCAACTTTTTTTTTCTTTCCTTCTCTTTATTGCCCACATTCCTTTCTTTCTACCCTGCCTTAATGTTGACCTCTGTACTAGTAGCTTCAATTGACCCTGGGGTTTTCTCATCCTCTTTTCTTTTCCTTCCTCATCAGTGATTTCTGTTTAGCTGTCACCTACCCCAACCAGGCTCCAGAAAAACCTATGCTTCACCTGCATCTATAAATACTAAGCTAATGTCTTTAAATGCCTTATTAAGATTATCAAATCTTTTCTTTCTTTTTTTTTTTACTTTTAGAATTTGCTTTGTTTTTTTGGGGTTTTGTGTTTGTGTGTGTGTGTGTGTGTGTGTGTGTGTGTGTGTGTGGGTAATGAATGAGGAAACCATAATATGTGAAATGGTTAGAATATGTTTAGTGTTCTGCGACTATTAGTAATAATAGTATTCCTAATATTAGTAGTAGTGGTAGTAATTATAACATTCATAGTAATAATAGTAGTAGTAATAAAATAACAGTAATAATAACACTAATAACAGTAGTAGTAACAATAATAGTAGTAGTACTAGTAATAATAACTGTAGCAGTAATAGTAGTTGTAATTACAGTAGCAGTAATAATAATAGTAGTAGCAGTAATAACAGTAGTAGTAATAATAATGGCAATAATCAGTAATAATAGTAGTAGTAGTAGTAATAACAGTAGTAGTAATAATAATGGCAATAATCAGTAATAATAGTAGTAGTAGTAGTAGTAGTAGAAACAGTGATAAGTAGTAGTAATAATAGTAATGGTAGTAATTATAATAACAGTAGTATTATTTATAGTAATAATAACAGCAGTAGTGTTAGTAAACTGCTTCAGCCAACAATGACCTCCGGTTAATCTTGGGGCACTCTTAAAAGAAAAACCAATCAGTGGCCAACACGATGCAATTACTTGAGTGATATTCTTAGCCAAGTGAATGACCCACCCCCCTACCATTCAGTGAGAAGGAGGTGGAGGAGGAGGAGGCAAAAAGGGGTTCACTCAGTCATTGTTTTCTTCCTTTTTATCGCCATTGATTTTTTTAATATTTTGGTTACAATGTTCCCTAATCATTGTCAAACAGCAGCATCCTTCCAGGTGATTTAAATCCTGCAAATAAACATCCCTTGAATTTCCATTTCAAACCTGTCATCAAACTTATATTTAACATTCTTTCATGATTATTATTATTATTATTGTTGTTATTAAAAATAACAACTATACCTGCCTATTGTCTCATTTCCCCCATTGAGATATAACATTTTGTCTGCACAGGTGTCAACAAGATTATATTTCTCTACCTGGTTAGTCAAAGTCAGAAAGCATGTTCTTATCTGTTGTATTTGTTGTTTAATACTCAGTCAGTACTTTTTATTAGTCAGCAATACTAGAATGTAAAAGACTTTTAACAGACCAATTAAAATCCTCTATCAATACTAAATCTTGAAACGGTATGCAATCAAACGTATTGTTCTATAAAATATATAAATACAGTTTGGCAGGTGTGGGGTGTGGGTGTAAATTTACTGTAGGAAAATTTCATTTTGATATTTAAAAAATGCTTTGACTGTCATAATCTGGCAATACTGTGTAGGAAAATGCAAATTCTAATGAAACATATTTAAGTTAAAAGGGTTAACTTAAGGTAATTTTTACTAGTTGTAATGAAAACTTAACCAGAGATCAAAATCTTATTAATTAGAATATATAAATATAATCGATATAAGATAAAGAACAAATAGGAAATGGATATCAACCTAACATGTTTCACTTTTATTAAAGCTTTGTCAGAGATTGAGAGAAAACAGACGAAAAGGCAGAACTTTGGTATTTTCAATTTTGTTTGGGTCAATTCTCATTGGTCAGTCATGTATCGTGCATTAAAACTGTAGATAATTCTATATGTATGAGAGTTTGTAAAAAATCTTGTATGTCTTAGTGGGGCATTGGATCGTAATGTGTATTCATAATTGTGTATGTGTGTCTGTCTAATAGAAGAAGTTCTAATGTCTTCACCCTTGTGCAGGACTCAGGCAGCTTTGTGTTTGTTCAACACCCACAGAGCCCACCTGTGGTTTATACTGCAACTATGATAAGTGGACTTTAGTTACAGTTTGTGGGAGAGAGTGCCTTATCTTGTATGATCAACAGTCTGAACAAGGGCAGTATGCTCAAACCCTCGGTCATAATGACTTGTGACTTTGTGCTGGCACAACTATCAATGGCTCCCAAAATAGTTCCATCTACCTATTTTCACTCATAAAGCTTGGGTCAACCCATGGTATGGCTTTCAGGCACTTTCCAAAGGTGCTGCAAATTAGAATCGCCTCATCAGGTCAATAGCATCATGAAGTTCAGAAAGTGAAAAGTTCTAACCACTCAGGTGAGGTGGTGGTGGTGGGGCATTATCCTGTGCTTGGAGCTTCTCCAAAAGGGGATGTGCTGAGGGGACTTGAGCAATTTTTGTACTGATTTTCCTGAAATTCCACATTAAACTCTGAACTTGTCATATTCTGTTGCAATGTGGGCATGCAGATAAATATCCATATGCTAACATTCTTTTTGTATAATAATCCATCCATATGTATTGAATTAATATAAGTAAAAGGTTTGTCACTTAATGGATAGTGGCTCAGATTGAGGAATCGGAGAGTCGAGTTCGAATTCCAGTTGAATCCATTACATTCACTTACGTGCTAATATCCTTGGGAAAGGTATTAATCCTCTTCTCCACCCCACCAGCTATGGGTAAATAGCAGGACAGACCAGGTTCTATAGGCTTGGATGGCAACTGGCCTACCGCAGAAAGAAATGGCAACCTGCTGTGGGGAAAAAATCTGCCTAGTCAGTCATGTATTGAAAGATATGTGATAGCCTAAACATGTATCACATATGGCACATAAATGACTGACAATATGCACTATCATGTTATCACTAAACATTTAAGTTTCTATATCTTAACTACTGCTTACTATCAATTCTTTCTAATTTCATTTTTGGGTTAATATAGTTTTGTATTTGTGATAAAACATCTTGCTTGGTGGGGGTAGGAAAAAAAAATTTAAATATTTATTGTGAAATAAGTTTTTGTGACTATTTGCTAGCTGTGTGGCATTATCTAATCAGAAATTTAATTGAAATTAATATTTAAGAAAAAGTTGTTGAACTGGCGTTAAAGATGATTACTGCTTGAATTATTTCCAAGTTGTTAATAAACCCAATTATTATATATTTCTCACTGTTTTCATCAATATTGTAGTCAAAATGGTTGTTGTAGTTATATCATTAATTTATTTTACATAGATATTTTTTTTCCTTGTGAAGAAACTAGATTTTGTACTGCCTCTGATGACACAGCTTTCTAATTCAGTGGCCCCTTTCTTACCCACTCTTATTTCGTCAGGAAAATTCTCATCAGGATTACCCATGGCTTGGCTAGTTTAGTTATTTTTTCTAACTTTTTTTTTTTTTTTCAGTATTTCTCCCCTTTCAAGCTCCTTGTTTGGTGGACTGGATGCATCTTTTGTTAAACTTTCTTTCTCCTTACAGTTCAAGGAAAAACAATGCTTCTTTTAAAATAAAAATAAAAAATTATAAGGATGTCTGGTAAAGATGGGGAGAGGATAGACTTGAAAAAAAAAAAAAAAAAAAGCTATGTTGTTTTTTTTTTTTTTAAAGCCTAAAGAAAACTCTTTCTTTCTTTTCTCTATTCAATCTCTCTCTCTCTCTCTCTCTCTCTCTCACACACACACACTGTAAAACACATTATCACAGTTATTTTTTCTTTTCTCCCCCCCCCTAGCATTCGGGGGGTGGGGGGTGTCGTGCTTCCAGTTTTCCTCCCTTCCTTTAGTATTTGGTGTCCTGTCATCACATCTGTCACCCTGCCTGTTGTTCAGCCCTCTCAGATTGATTACTCTCCACCCATTTTTATTCATGTGTCAATAGATCAGTGCAGGGAGAGAACATTGCTACAAGAAGACAGGCCCTTTTTCAAACCCCCCTACCTTTCTTCTTTTAAACAACCTCTCCTTTCACTGCTAGCACTAACTCACATCTCAGCTTTCCTTCTATAATTAAAAAGATCGAGGAATTTTGTTCCAGCCATTCAATATGGCGTTGATGACTGACGAGAAAGACAACCAATGAAAAAAAAAAATTAAAAAATTAAATTTTGAAAATTTCAATTAAAAAATTCCTTTCCTTCGAAAAGGTCAGCTTTAACCATTTTTTTTTTTTTTTCAAAATTTGATATTCATTCAGTCAATTAACCCCCCAAAAGAAATAAATTGACAAAAAGCAGAATTTTTTAGAATTGTATTTCCTTCCTTGTAAATTCCGGCTTTCTTTCTTGTTGCCTTTTCTCCAAATACAGAAGTACAATGATAGTTTTATTTCATGTTACACATCATTGCCAAAAAATATTTCCATATTTTTCATTTTCTTTTTATGGATATCATTTTCAGTTTTGCAAAAAATATTAAAATTGTATCAGATGTGCAAGTCAAGTCAAGTGGTCTCTGCTAAGATGTGTGTAATCTCACAAAAACATGTGAAGAATTTTTATCCATTCTCTGTAATGAGGAACGAACAAATTAAGTAATTTAAATAATCAGTTACTTTATTAAATAAACAGGTTTTGTTAATAACAGAATTATTAAATTAGACAAATGCCAATGAAATGCGAAGGGTTAAATGTAGAGAATTGAAAGGTTTACAAGTAAGCGCCTCCAAAGATTTGATAAAAACATGAGCATACCATGATGAAAAAATGTGCAAAACCTGATAAAGACAAAGTTTATCATCAAAATCTTTGTCATTATGAAGAAGAAAGACCAAAGGAAATTTTTTATTAATAAATTATATTTTTTTCGTCCTTTTTAGAACTTGCAAAATTTGGGTTAAAATTTTTGTTTTTCTGGCAAATTAGTAAGGGAAATTTTCGCGACTTATTTTTGATAAAAAAAACACATTGATTTGGAAATTCTTGTTGGATTTTAATTTTTAATGAAACTTTCAGAATTTATTTACAAATGAATGAAATTATTTTAGAAATGTTTCTTTTTTGTAAAATCTTGATAAAAATATATTTTTTACATTTATTACCTCCTCCCACCACTTATTTAATTACATGAAATTTTGAGAAATTCATTTTTGTAGTGCTTAATGTTCATATTAGTTATAAGGACAAGTCTTTGGAGAATTTAGATCATCAAATTTTTTTGTCAAACAGTATCTCCACTCACAGAAAATCTGCTCTGAAACATAAAATAAAAAATGCAATAAAACTAAAATATTATTTAATGAGAAAAGCTTTTAATTGCTTTCAAGAATAAGACATATCATGGACAGTAATGTCTTAAGAAAAACTTTTTTTATTTTTGACAAATAAGGAATTTTTACAAGAATTTTTTACATTTTTTAAAAATTTAATTACAGTAATTTAGAAACTTTTAAATCTTTGTATTAATTTCTATCAGTCAAGTGATATTGTTATTAAATTAAAACTATATTTATGAATCAGAAATGGAATATCTTACTACAGTTCAATGACCCCCTCCTGTAGTATTTTAAAAAGAATTTTGAATTTATTTTGTCTGTGTACAAACACATCAATTTTTTTGTAAATACTGATGTTCATACACAACATTATCAGGAAATAACTATAGTAAATCTAAAATTTATTTGCAATCTTTTAACATTTGCTTAACAAGCGTCTTCATAAGTAAGACTAAAAAGCCAAAGTACCTAAAATACAATAAGATATTAGAATGCTTGAAATATTTAAAATTTTTAAGATTACTGAGTAATTAAAAAAAAATATATGAAAAAGGCATTTATGTTGTATTCACCATGTAATTTTATTTCAATTATCTGCTCCTTAATTAAATTTCCAAAACATCAAACTGATCTATAAACACCCAGCTCTATGTTAAAAAATGATTTCTTTGACATTTTAAACTAAAAGTAATATGTTGTATAAGAGTAAGTGCCATTGCTGACACTGCAGTTTGAAACTAGATTGCCAGTGAGTACTTGGGTGATTCCATTATTAAGTAGACCATGTGAGCATAAAGGAAGTGAATAAATACAAAGTAGCATAAGAATCACTGTTCACTCCTTCTTGTCTATCCACTATTGCTATACATTCACTCTCCACTCTACTACTATACAGATTACGATTATCTTCTGATCATTATACTATTTGGCGATTACTACTTGAACAAGTATTACTAGTGCAGATATTATTGGAAGATGTTACTATTAGTATTGGCGTCTGCAAAGTAACAAATATAAAAAGCATTTTTGGAAGTGATAACAAGCTTTTTCTTGACATAGCAAAAGTGACAAGTGAATCACAATCACAAAATAATATTTGTTTCAATTCCGATTAATTAAACTTTAAATCAGTTATTTTTTCTTAAATAACATTTCAAGAGTGTATATTTTATTTTTGAAAGAATTTTTTAATAAAGAGAATTATGTTGTGTTAACAGATTTGTCATTATGGGGGTTTTTAAAGATTTTATTGATAATCAGAAAAAACTCATTTGAACCAATTTAAATTCAGTTTAAAATGAAAGTATATTACTTATTAAAAATATTAAATTTAATCTATTAACTTGGAATTAAAACTAAAATAAAAGATTTTAGAAAATTTTTAATTTTTTTTTAAATGCATTTTAAATCTTAGGTTTTCACTTTTTTTTGGTGGGGGTATCTAGGAAGGAGACTGCAATTTGTTTGCTTGAATTCATTGCATGTTTGTGTGACATCACACATTTTTACACAGACTACAGTTTTACCAAATCAAAGATTAATTTATATAATAAAACAAAAATTTAGTTATATAAATTGTTTTGAGGTAATGAAATATTTTTTATCTTTGCTAATACAGGAAAAATCCTGTCCAAACTTCTACTTAAAACGAAGTACAATTTTTATTAAAGGAAAACATCAGTTTTTACTGAGATTTTTCTTCTACTTTTATATGCCATGTCCATTCATAATATGGCATTTACGGCTCTCCACAGCTTCCTATCTTTTACTATCTCTTCGCTTTTGTTTTTTACTATCCATTTATACAAACTCATGTCCTGTGAGTATCAAATTCTCCAATTCCTCTTTCCTCATATGTTGCAGAAATTTCAACTGACTTTTTCTGCTTTTAGTCATAAATATATTTTTTTTCCATTTCCTTAAAACTTCCTCATTGTTTACACACTCCATCTATGGTATTCTCAACATCTTTCTGTAGAAACACATCCATCATCCTTCAAGTCTCTTCTTCATCTGTGAAGAAATCATCCAGCATTTACTGCCATATAGGAGGATTAATATTACACAGCAGTTCAGAACCCTTTTCTTTGTTTCTAATGAGATTTTCTTGTTTCATAATACTTTGTTTAGCTTTTGAAAGGTATCTTTTGATTCTAATGTTTCAGGTTTGTTGCTTACATCTTGGGATACCACTCTTGCTCACATTTTCTTGTCTTGGTATTCTCAACATACTTTTGTGGAAACAGATCTCTATTGCCTTGAGTCACCTCTTTATCTCTGAAGAAATTGTCCAACATTCACTGCCATAATGGAGGATTGATATTATGTAGAAGTTCAGAACGCTTTTCTTTGTTTCTAGCAACAACAAAAAATGTTTCTTCATACTTTGTTTATCTTTTTGCAACTTAGGCTTTCAGAATTTTCTATTATTAAACTTATTAAATATTGTTTCTCATAGTGATGATGAAAAACAGTTGCCATGTTAATTTATGTGTTTCAGCATCATTTTTCAATTCAGCCATTTATTCCACCCAACCCAAAACGAGAAAACAGCCTTACAGATAGGAGTAAAATCTGGTTTCTTTTTAGCTTAAGGACTTGACAGAAATTTTCCTAATTAAAGATAATTGGAAAAATTTGATTTATTCTGGTGATCAATAAACTGAACACAATGTTTTATCCAAGATATGGATATATATATATATATATATATATATATTACATTTCATATATATATATATATATATATATATATATATATATATAATTATTTATTTAAAAATTTATAACATGTTTATGTTAAAAAAAATTTTAAATAAATAATTATATCTGCTCTACTTTGTATTGAGCACTCTTTTAAGAATAGTAATTGTTGGTTATTGAATTCATTCCATACACCAATACACCAATTATATATATTATATATATATATATATATATATATATATATATATATATATATATATATATATAGGGGTGAAAAAGTAACTCCCTATTTTAAAAATACTTATAATTTATTTATTTACAAGAAATGGGTATGAGAGAAAAGTGTTTAGCATGAGGTTTTATTTAAAGTTCAATATGGGCACCAGATTTCACTACCATCTTCTGGGGCTGCCCAGGAATTACATCAACTGATTTCACCAGGAACTCTTGTATGGTAGACATAAATTTTTGTAATCACCCTTCAAGTTCTTCTGAAGTCTTGGTTTGGCATAGTAGACTTGCTCCTTTAATTAACCCCCACCAAAAAAAATCACAGCTCATACATAGAATAGGGTGTTACTTTTCAATCACTGTGTGTGTGTGTGTGTGTGTATGTATGTCTGTGTGTGCATACATGCAATAATGAAGGTGCAAAGTATCATAATAGCTATCAGCAAAGAAACTTGAATTCAAATATCAGTTAGCATGAACCCTCTTCTCCCTAAGATAGTTTTTATTACCACATATTGTGGGTGAGTGAAGACTCAGGTAAATCACTCTACTAAAACTACCTTAGACTACCCAAACACTATTAAACCTTTAGCAAACTGCATTATTAATATTACTTCCCTTTCCACTGCATTCTTTTTCAAGGCCTCTCAATTTCAGTAACCTTATTGTTAATTTCGCTCAAAGTTGTTTACTATTGCCATAGCAGGATATAACAACACAACTATGAAATTCAAACAGTCATCAGTCACCTTCTGTGGTAGGATAAATTTTTTGTACAGCAAATGAAGTCACTTACAAAGTGATAAAGGTGTTGTACATTCCTGCCTTCTCCAGGTAATTAGAATTTTGAACTGAACCC